TCGCGTTCACGTGGATTCCCTTCGCGGAGGAACGGATCGTTAGTCGACTCTGGGTGGACGACGACGTTCGTCAATCCGTGTCCACGATGTCCGCGAGATGGACAGTTCCGCGTAGCCGTAACCCCGTGGAGAGTGGGAAGCGAGCGAGCTGGGGAAATTAGGGTCGGCGTCGGAGGAAGATCGGGCGATTTCGATTCGTTTCCACTCGGCGGAAACGAGAATTGGATAAAAAAAGAGGAGGGAAGGGGGAAACGAGGAGGAGTTGTTGCGTTCCTTTAAACGATCGACGATCTTTACTCGTCGAATAATTCTTGTTAAATGATCTCTTTCTCTCTCTCTCTCTCTCTTTCTCTCTCTCTCGTTCATTCCGTTTTCCATTTTTCACTTTTGTAATTTTATATGTGTGTATATATATTTATATATGTATTCTTCTCGATCATTCTCCCTTCCCTTATATAATCCTTTCTCCTTTACCTTATTGTGCACCTCTCGTCCCAAAGCCAAATACGTAAAACATTCACACACACGTGCTCGCGTACTCCTAGGTAGTCTCATTTTTTACTTTTTATTGCTTTGAAATTCCGTATTGAAGACGCAAACGGCTCGCCTCAGCCGACTAATAATAAAAAAATTCGGAGTGGGCGACATGGAGGGGGCGAGGAGAATTGTTCTGCACGCGGATGAGGGGCGATTTTTTTGGAAAGTTTGGGGGAAAGGAGGAACATTCACGAACGGGAGTTTTATATAAATAGTAAACGGTGACACATCATGTTACGTACGTGTAAAAATGATTGATTAGTAGCTATTATTAAATGTTAATAATGTTTATATCATTTATATACTTCTTATATACTTCTGTGGCTTCGTGTGTGTGTGTTTCGCGTATCGTGTATCTATGTATCGGTGTGAGTATGTGTGTGTGTATATATATATATATTATGTGCGTGCCTATACTCGAAATGTACTGTTATACTCTGTACTGTTATAATTGATTACGTTGCAATCATCGTCCTTTCTTCTATCTCCGTGTGTCGGTCTTCGTATTAAACGCGCGTTTATTCTCTCCTTTAGGCCTTTAAGATCGGTTTCGTATCGTGAGAAAACGTGTCGTCGCTATGCTCCGTCGATCCTCCAATGACTTTTCCTTTCTTTTTCGAAATAAACTAAACTTTCACGATTTCGATTCTTCACGTTCGATTTACTCCTCGAGAGTTTGGAAACTCGTGTGTATTCGAGCACATAAACGTATACACGCATTCGTCGAGAGAAATATCGAAACGACGAAAATTAAGAGGGAGAGAAAAAAAAGAAGTCTCGGCAGAAATTAATCGCATCTCGTTAAAAGATCCGTCGAGTGCGCCGTCTCGAAATGAAAGGAATATTTCGATGATCGGAAGAATCTAGAAATTCGAAATTAATGGGGATACTCGGCGGAAATGGTGACTCGTTAAGTCCTTCTCCTCAATGTGCGGGGGTACGTTGAACTTCACGTGCAAAAATAAAAAAAAAAAAAGGTTTCACCGTCTTAATGGCGTGACTGGTGGAAATGATAACCGGTAGCAGAAATAATAGCATTAAATTCTTTGCGCGGCGATATTACGAGGGTGAAACTAGAATCCTCTTATAGTTCTTTGCCGGCAGAGGTTTAGAGAGATTTTCAAGCTCGGTCAATTAATTCCAAAAATCCTGGAGAAATCCTTTGGGTCGAGGTATTTCGTCCATAACTTTGACGAAATTTTCCAGCGCGGAGGATCGGTGAAATTAATTTTTCGACGAATCGACCGAAAAGGAATCAAACGATACTTTTTTTTTTTTTTTTTTCGTATCGTTAAATTTTTAACCGCTCGATTCTTGATGCTTCAATTTTTACGTTCGACGTAAAATTAATCCAGATCAACTTGAGAAATTTGTAATTCACCACTTCCGCATTTTTTTATAAACTATCCTCTTCTTTTCTTTTTAACACATTCCATTCGAGCCATTTGAAATTATACATAAATAATGCCTTGTAAATAAAAAACTATTAATCGAAAATCGATCTGGCACGAATCATGTAAACTAAATATCGTCGAAAATATTACAATTTAAAAGGATTTAAAACGATCGTTCTCCAATGAAATTTCTTCTTATTCGCGCGGTCGAAAATATAATCCAAATAGTTCCCTCTGGTTCCTGTACAATCAGAAATCGTGACGATTAAGCCGGCAATTAATAACTGTGCTCTCGATGTCGATCATTAAACAGCGAAACTAATTGGAGCCGCTCGAACGGCAGTCAATCCATGCGTATTCAGTCTCCGAATGAAAATCGTGCAAAACACGTGTATGTCGCAATAATTGATAGATAAACGGGATCCTTTCGGGATATTATTTTGAAAATTGGAAAACATCGTTTCTCTATAAACCATTTGCATTGTGTCTTTTCTTTCCAACGTGTTTGCCGTTTAATTGCTCGTTAACGCGTTAATTCTGTAAACTGTACAGAATATAAATTAGAAATTGCGCTTTGTAATGGATATCCGTCGTTTAATTTCACCAGGCAAGATAGATTTTAAATCGATTTTCCATTAAATTTTCGGTAGGTGTTTAATTGATAATATGTGCGTGTATTATTCATTGTTTTTCTTTCTTTTTTCTTTTTTTTTTTTTTTTTATTAGAAA